CTGATCTATCTGGGACTTTAGATCGTTGATCTGTTGAGAGACTACCTCAAGTTTCTTTCTCTCTGTATCCAGGTTATTCTCAGCTGTTTGGACTAAATCCTCCTTCTCCTTGACAAGACATTCCCGCCAATGATTCTCCTCTTTCAGTCTTTCCTTGTCAATCATCTCAGATCTGAGAGCAGCTTCTTTTTCTGTTACATGCATGTTCAACTCTACGATTTTCTTATCAGCTTCCTTCAAGGCTTCTTTGTATATTACCGCACGACATTCTTCCATTATGAAGGACTCGACACAAGAGTCTTCAAAATCATCCTTGCTTTCTTGGGCATCTTTACTCGGAAGATCTTTCAATATCAACTCATAAGCTTCTTTCATCATGCTATGCTCCAAATCTGTCTCCTGTTTTGCCCTTTTAATCTGGCTCACAAACTCCTTCACAAAACACCCATAAACATCTTCAGAGATAGAAGCTTCAACATGAGAATCAGCAACATCTGATTCGAGCTTCCGAATCAACTTTTGATAATCTGCCTCAGCCTGAGAATGCTGCGACATTTTTTCAGCAGCTTCCGAAAGTGAATCTTTCAGTTGACGATTTTCCAGAAGGAGAGAATCCAGTCGACTCTTAATATCAGCATTGTTCTTTCCTTCAGTCATCAACTTTTCATCTTCCAATAAGATCTTATCCAATTTTGAGATGACAAATGGGATCTTCTTCTTCAGCGCCTCTAGCTCCTTATCCTTCCCCACAAAAGTAAAGGAACCCCTTTCCTTTAAATTCAAGTACTTTCGCTTAAAGGTAAAGCATTGTTCTGTCATGTCTTGTATTTCAGATTCATGGTCTCTTTTCAATTTATTCATCTCGCTCTTAAAGTGACTAATCAAATCATCGTGTGATAAGTGTCTTAAAGCCTCACAATTCTCGGGCACTGAGGCAACAGAACTATTTTCATGCTTGCCATTTGAATCCTTAAGTGAAGAAGCTAGATTAAGGCCTCCCGACATCTTGCGGTGCAGTTGCTCCACTCTTTTCCTGTCCCCTTCCTCCCCTGCCTCGATGTCCCCATTTTCATGATCTGAAAGTGATTTACGAATCATCTCTAATTCCTGGCGCAGACAAGTAATCTCTTTGACATTTCCTAGTAACAAACATCTATTACCACCAAATTCAGCTTCTTTCTCCAACAATCTCTGCTGATACTCATCCTTGAGACTCCGAAGAAAACTAGTCACCACCACAGACTCAATTTCTTTTTGAAAACCATGCTCCTGCTGCCACGATGAGGGGAGTTCCACTTCATTCTTTCGCTTCAACACAGTCTCTAGAGTGCTCTTCAAGGAATCAAGCATTTTATCGACAGTTTTGGTACCAGTCCCATGCGGACTGCTGTCTAAACCAAACGTATCATCCAGGGTGGCACCTGCTCCATTGTTGTGAATATAGCTTCTCAAATCAGTGAGTTCTTGAACGAGCATCTGCAACTGTTTCTTCGCTTCAGTTTTAAGAATACCCAAAGAGCCTACACTAAACCCACCCGGAGGGTCCAAACACGCCTTATCATGCACCAAACGAGAACCATTTTCTTCAGAACCCACATGGTACAGAAGCAACGTCTCCCTAATCTTTGACAATTCAAGGTCTTTGTGAGCTATCTTCTCAGCAGCCTCCGACTCAATCGCAGTTACCATTCCCCTTATAATCGAATCACTCACAACTCGCGAGATAGTCAACCGATCATTTACATCTTCCCAATAAGAATCGAAATCCTCAAGAAAACCAACATCTGGATTCTCATTCTCTTTAAGAACACCATTATTAATCTGGACTGATAATTCATCACCAAACTCTAAACTACCATTCTCAGCCATCACAACTTCCTCCTCCATAAGGATATAATAAAAATCTCACCACTCTTTCTCACAATAGCCCTGAGGGAAGAAGTAACAGTTTCCTTTTAGTATGATTCCCATAAATTCAACAAAGATAAACATTCAATTAACAAAAATTTCTTTACTTAATTGAAATAAACTTCGAGTTCCACAAGAACAGGAGGAACCCACAAATTTCATTTCACTGTACTACAAATCCCAAAACCAAAAACAATCAATTCCGAATTAAACGTATCTCCTCTACTTTGATAAAGCGAACCCATCTATTGAATTGAGATTACAAATCCTACAAAGATGAAAAAACTTTTAAACCTCAAAATCCAACGACCATAACCAAATAAGGGAGAAGCAACAACTTACCTATAGCTTAAATTTGTTCGGATTAAGTAAAGGCAAAACTGTTGTAGAGGAGCTTCGATTTCAACGGAGAG